TGCCACGTGGCCGGGCCAGGCTGTTAGACCAAAGCCTGTCGCCTCTTCCCTCCAAAGTGGGCAGGGCTCAGCTTGCTGGTCCCCAAAGCTTTCCACTCTCCTACTCCACTTTCCCTCGGAAATAGCTGCTTTGGGTCACGTCCAGTGAGGGGCGATACCCCTGGGATCTTTGCCTCAAGGAACACCCAGAACAGTAACACGCACTGAGCATTGTCCTTCAGATTGACAAGTCTGAGCACCTAATAACCGCCATAGGAGAGCAGGAGCCATGGGGCACAGCCGGAACTCGGCCACAGAGGAAAACGTGAGCTGTCAACAACCATGCACTAAGTGAGCAGCGAAGCTAGAATGAGACCAGATTTCCAAATGCCTAGGTCTGTGAATTGGCCAAAAGATCATCTTTCTCCTTATTCTCCCACTCACACAGAGCTGACCCTTTCTGCACTAAGGACACTAGCACTAGCCTTCATCCTAACCCTAAACCAAGATAAGCCGCACCTATATGGGCTGCCAGGCTACGTCTAGACTGGCATGATTTTCCGGAAATGCTTTTAACGGAAAAGAGCGTCTAGATTGGCACGTACGCTTTTCCGCAAAAGCACTTTTTGCGGAAAAGCGTCCATGGCCAATCTAGACATGCTTTTCCGCAAAAAAGCCCCGATCGCCATTTTCGCGATCGGGGCTTTTTTGTGGGAAACAAATCTCAGCTGTCTACACTGGCCCTTTTGCGCAAAAGTTTTGCGCAAAAGGGACTTTGGCCCGAACGGGAGCAGCATAGTATTTCTGCAAAAAGCACTGATTTCGTACAGTAGGGAGTCAGTGCTTTTGTGGAAATTCAAGCAGCCAGTGTAGACGGCTGGCAAGTTTTTCCAGAAAAGCAGCTGATTTTCCAAAAAAACTGGCCAGTCTAGACACAGCCCCAGTGTTTTAGCCACCTTGTTCTTTAGCCGCACTCAACGCGAGTTTAATTCAAGAGGCTGCTTACGAGACTCCAGCTAGAAGAGGAGGTGTCTGTACGGCAGCTGGGAGGTGTCATTCGCAGCCAGGGAAGTTGGGCTAGCTATCCAAGTACGTACGCAGGGGTCAGTCAAGGTTCACCTAAGCTGCCATAGCCACAGAACTGGCAGATGTCCATCTACCCAAGCTGGAAGTAATCACCCCTCCCAATGCCTGTGTAGCTCTCCCCACCGTGCGCGTGTCTGTGATGTCATACCAGACCCACAGCTAGGTGTTCCTGGGTGTTCCTTGAGGTCACTTGACTCCAGCTTCCAGCACTCCGGCTGTGAGGTTATAAAATTTCATTTCCCATTCTGTATGGCTACGTCTACACTGGCACCCTTTTCCGGAAATGCTAAAAACGGAACAGTTTTCCGTTATAAGTATTTCCGAAAAAAGAGCGTCTACATTGGCAGGATGCTTCTCCAGAAAAGCACTTTTTCCAGAAAAGCGTCCGTGGCCAATGTAGACGCGCTTTTCCGCAAAAAAAGCCCAGATCGTCATTTTTGCGATCGGGGCTTTTTTGAGGAAAAGACTACTGTGCTGTCTACACTGGCCCTTTTCCGGAACAGTTTTTCCAGAAAAGGACTTTTTCCCGAACAGGAGCAGCATAGTTTTTCCGGAAAAACACTGATGATTTTACATTAGATCGTCATTGCTTTTCCGGAAAAGCAAGCGGCCAGTATAGACACAGCCTCTGTGTGCAACGGAGTGCTCCTTCCTCAGTGGAGCACTGTGGACAAACTAGAGAAATGGTCTGAGGTAAATAGGATGGAGTTTAATAAGCACAAATGCAAAGTGCTCCACTTAGGAAGGAACAATCTGTTTCACCTGTACAGAATAGGAAGCGACTGTCTAGAAAGGAGTACTGCAGGAAGTACTAGGGTCAGAGTGAACCACAAACTATGAGTCAACAGTGTGATGCTGTTGCAAAAAAAACAAACATGATTCTGGGAGACATGAGCAGGAGTGTTGTGAGCCAGACACGAGAAGTCATTCTTCCGCTCTGCTCTGCACTGATTAGGCCCCTGTTGGAGTATTGTGTCCAGTTCTGGGCACCACATTTCAGGAAAGCTGTGGAGAAATTGGAGAGGGTCCAGAGAAGAGCAACGAAAATGATGAAGTCTAGAAAACATGGGCTCTGACAAAAGGCTGAAAGAATTGGGCTTGTTTAGTTTGGAAAAGAGAAGACTGAGAGGGGACATGAGAGCAGCTTTCAAATACCGACGAGGGTGTTATAAGGAGAAGGAAGAAAAATGATTCTCCTTCACCTCTGAGGATAGAACAAGAAGCAGTGGGCTTAAATTGCAGCAAGGGAGGTTTAGGTTGGACATCAGGAAAAAGTTTAGGGTGGCGAAACACTGGAATAAATTGCCCAAGGAGGTTGTGGAATCTCCAACACTGGAGCTATTTAAGAGCAGGTGAGACAGACACCTGTCAGGGATGATCTAGCTGGTGCTTGGTCCTGCCATGAGGGCAGGGGACTGGACTCGATGACCTCTCGAGGTCCCTTCCAGCTCTAGAATCTATGATTCTATGATTGCAGGGCATAGATGTTTGCTTAGGCTGGAGCCAGGACTCAGAGTCCCAGAGACAGCGCACCAGCCTACATTCAAATATCTACCCTGCAACGTTCTAGCCCTGAAGGCCTATCCCAGCAAGCTCGAGTTAGCTCATCCAGGCTGGTCATGACATGCTTTTATTGCAGCATAGATCTACCCAGTGTGGCTGTTTGCAAAAGAAGCATGTGAAAGACAGCACCTCTCTACGCTGCAGTCAGAGAGGTGACTGTAACACGTATGGACACACCTGAACTAGCTTTGATCTAGCTTGCTTGGGTAACAAGCGCAATGAAACCATGGCAACGGGGAGAGTTGCCCTATCTGGATCAAAGCTTGCTCAGGTATCTCCCTACATGCTGCATGTCTATAGTCCCCAATCCTCAGGACTTGGACCTTAGTCACAGCAGGACTCGGACTCAGATCCACTCTCCTAGCAGGATCCTAGGACGTCTGACTGAAGAATAGACATGCCTTTAGATGGTGCAGAGACTCTGCTACTGGCCTTGAGCTAACAGAATAATAGGATCACAGAATCTTAGGACTGAAAGAAACCTCAGGAGTCATCGAGTCCAGCCCCCTGCCCAAAACAGAACCAACCCCAACTCAATCATTCCATCCAGGGCTTTGTCACGCCGAGACTTAAAAACCTCTAGGGATGGAGATTCCACCCCCTTCCTAGGGAACCCATCCCAGCACTTCAACACCCTCTTAGTGAAATAGTTTGTCCTAATATCCAACTTAGACCACCCCTGAGAAGAGCCTCTCTCCATCTCTTTGGAACCTCCCTTCAGGAAGTTGAAGGCTGCTATCAAAAGGAGTTAGTCCTTCAGCTCAAACAAGTTTGTACTTTTAGATTCAGAGGTCCCAGGTACAATGTCTAGAGATGACGTGACCGAAGGGAGAAAGTTCAAATGCCAGCAGCCCATCCCAAAGCAACAGCGGGAAATGAGAACCAAATTTCCCTCGCTAAGACAGAGTCTCAATGACAAGTCAGCCGATGGAACCAGAGAAGATGAAGCTTAAAGCACGGGAGAATTTCTTTAAAAGAAAAAATAAACCCTTCTTGCAACATGATTTAACTTTATGGAAGTGGTAAAAAATGCATGAAATCGTTATAGCCCTTATTAGAGAAATCCATTCACATCCCTTGATTTGAACTTCCCCTTTTTCAGTTAGTCCACCTCCCTGCCTTTGAGACAGCTGAACTTTCCCCAGTTATCTGCCTCATCAGAGGACCTAATCAAACATAATTATCTGCAAATTTGAAACAAAAAAAGAAGGGAATAATTATAATCAGAGCCGGTCGCTCATGGTCGCCAGTCCCCGATTTTATTTTTCCTGCTTGGCTAATGCAACAGAAGCCTTTGGAAATGAACGTGCCTGTAGGCACAGCCTTGAATCCTTAACATCCCTCTACTGGCTGGCACTGGCAGATTGTCCTGCATCCTCTAGAGAAAGTAGGAATGCTAAGGGTTTGTCTACGCTGCACTGGATATGTGAGTCTGTAGGTGCTGGGCTCTGACGCATCCACATTGCATTGCAAACCAGGGCTGAGCATTGCTGGCCCCAGGTCGCAGAGCCATGCTGGCCCATCCATGCGGCTTGTCCACATTGCAAAACAACAGGTCTTGGACCTCTGTCAAAGCAGGACACAGGCTTAGACCCACCTCCCTTAGCACGATCCTAGGAGCCCAGTCCTACCTGCTGGCTGACCCAAGTCAGACTGATTTGTATGCAGAGGGAAAGGCAGCTTCAGCTCACACCTGAATCAGAGCTGAGGCTTTGTGTGTGTGTAGACAGGACTGGGTGTCCAAAGACAATTCTAGTCTCTACGTGGCTCTACCCTTCTGCAATTCTATCCACTGGGCTAGTAACCAGGTCTTGCTCTGTTTGTCATTATTGCTGGGCATTTCTTACCTGTAAATCTCAAAGCGCTTTACAAAGGAAGGGGAACTTTTACAGAGGGGGAAACTGAGTCACAGAAAGGCAAGACTGTCTAAGACCACTCGGTAAGGCAATGATGCCACCAACAGCAGAATGCCTTCTAGCTGCAGTCTCTCTCCATTGGGCCAGGCCATTGCAAAGTGGTTGTTGCTACACTGGAGCCTTTAAAGATCGTGTTCTGGCAAACCTCTCAGAGACTATCCCTTTGCCTTGTTTTTTCAGGTGCACCCCAGTGTGGTTTAAGTGTCTCCCAAAAATGCCCCTCGGAAGTGCGCCCAGAAATGTGCTCATGCATGTGTGAAAGATGGACATGCAGGCCAGGCTGTGAATATGTGCACTTTGCACGCTCCGGTGGCACGTTTCCTGGGCATGTTTGCACACGGTGACTCAGGCGCTGTCTTTGAACAAGTCCCCCCGCCTGTGTCTGAAACCCCTTCCTCAGTGGCTGTGAGAGGAGGCCGGATCGCTCACCCGCATGCACTGGAATGCCTCACTTACTATTGCAGGCTTTTCGGTTGCACAGTCTCCCTTCCTCCAGCACGCCTTCGCAGATCAGGCCTTCCTCGGGCACGGGCTGGCAGGTTCGGGTGCGCGTCTGGAGACCGCCCCCGCAGTCTCGAGTGCAGTCTCCCCAAGCCGACCAAGGGTTCCAGCCACCTGAGCAAAACCCAGAAAAGGCCCCGTCAGCGTGAGCATTCCAGGGCGGTGGGGATGGAGCAGCAGAACAGGGAGAGAAGTAAAGAATTCTGCAGCTGTCCCTAAAGGCCACCAAGTAGCATTCTAATGCACGGGGCAAAGGATAGCTTGGTGGTTTAAGCATTGGCCTACTAAATCCACAGTTGTAAGTTCAATCCTTGTGGAGACCACTTAGGGATTTGGGGCAAAAATTTGTCAGGGATGGTACTTGGTCCTGCTTTGAAGGCAGAGAACTAGACTTGATGACCTTCCAAGGTCTGTTCTAGAAGATAGGCAATCTCCATTAATTTTAATTTCTTTTTAAATTTTGTAGCAAGATGAGGGCCTGAAACTTAAGCCCAAGTATTGCAGGCCTGGTGTGAGGCCTAGGACCAGGAGTCAAGACTTTGCTCAGATCAAACAAAATCAATTTGTGAGCAGGAAGCCAGCATAGAGTACATCTAGACTACACGCTTCTTTCGAAAGAAGCAATCCGGATGCTCTCTTTTGAAAAGAGGCATTCTTCCTTGTAAAATGAGGTTTACCACTGTCGAAAAAACTGCCACGTTCTTTCGATTTAATTTTGAAAGAACGTGGCGGCAGTCTAGACGCAGGCCACTTTTTTTGAAAAAACCCTGTAGTCTAGACATAGCCGTAGTGAACAAGATTAAACATAAATAAGATGGAGGGTCTCAAACAAACAAGGGTGTTGGGGACAGATTGTAAGAACATTTCAGGGGGACAATAATAGGAGGTTTCATTGAGAGATGACTTGGTGCCAACCTTTTCCCCAGCAGACCAACCCAGCTTCATGACCAGGTCTAACCTAATGGCATGAGCGATGGAGATCAACCCTTCCTTGTATGAGGTAAGGGGAGGTAACTAAGCAACCAGAAATGGCATCAGGAGTGAGCGTAACTTGTTTGGACCTGTGTATAAAAGGGAACCCCGAAGAGTTGTCTGTGTCTGGCCGAGGGGGCAAGAGGGAAGTCCATGCTATTGACTGAGTCGGTCTATTGTCACAGAGGACATAGTGACTCAGCGACAGGTCTGTCTGCTGAGAACTATCACTGTACTTCTCCTGACAGTAAACCTGGCCTAGGGCCTTCGATCCTTATCTGATTCTGTGGTCTTTGGAGGCTCTCTCGGAGGCTGTCGCGTTGACTAATTGCTCAGGGTTAACATGGTAGACGGGAGCACATATTCGCACACATACACACACAGAAGAACGTTTAACAACATTGACAGAGCAGAAGACCTGTCAGAACACCACATCAATGAACCCTGACTGCTACACCCATTGCTAAAGCAGGGTTAGAAGGGGAGTAGGGCATATGAAGGGGGTCTCACACGTGGTGGGGGGAGGGCTGTAGCTGCTAAAAGCAGGGGGAGACCCCCCCACACACACACACCCCTCCTTGATTAGCATCACGAGGAGAACTCCCTGTCCAGGTGGGAGTGGGTAAGTAAGTGCTGCTTTCTCTCTAATTACAGGAAGCTGGCACAGGTTGGCTTGGCATCAGCTGGGGAAAAAGCCTAGCGACTGGACCGCAATCAGGGATGCAGCTAATGAGCTCGTTTGCTTAATTTAGATTTTTTTAAAAATCAAATACAGGAACTTCACTTTTAAAAAAAAATTCTTCCAAGGCCCTATAGAAAGCAGAGAAGCAGACGAGCCTCTGAGTCCGCCGGCCCGTTGTCCCACAAGCCGCTGCGGGAGTCTTGCCTTCACGGTTGTAATTTACACAGCCATGGCACAGACAGTGCCCAGCTGAGCTCAGGGCTGCATTAGGCTGGGTGCTGTCCACAGACAGGCGACTTCTGAACTTACATCCTGAACGGACGAGGCAGCAGGCAAAGAGAGAGAGAACAGGACTATATTATTAGGCTGTTTACAGCGGGGAAAAATGATGCATGGAGAGATTAAGTGATGGACTCAGCATCATACAGCGACACCATGGCACACCCCCGCCGTCTGAATCTCGGGGCCTATTTTCCCAGGCTTTGTCCATGCTCGCTTGAAGTCTTCCGGGAAGGGACTTAGGTGCCCTGTTTAGGAGACTCTTCTGCAGGCTAACTCGTTGCTGATATTCAGGGAAGATTTTCTTGTTCTATTCCAAACAACCCCTCCCCCCTTCACACACTTGCACAGGAATTAGCACGTCCCTGTTCACTAACACACACCCGCTACAACATGTATTTGCAGAGGGGTAGCTGTGTACTCCTCCCTACCTGCAAATAAATAAATAAAATAAAAAGAATCCTGTGGTATCTTCAAAACTAACAGATTTATTAGGGCACGAGGAGATTTACCCAGCATTACCTGGGTCCTTCAGGAGGAGGGTTCAGGAGCGAGGGTAGAGTCCTGGGGTTATGGGGAGCAATGCAGGAAGCTGGGGTTGGGGGGGGCTGCGAAAGTGAGAATTAGGGAGTGAGGAGGGGCTCAGGGTGGGGGGGTGGTCTGTGACGGACTGGGCCAGGTCTGGGCGCAGCTGAGGGTCTCCACTCAGGGCGAACTGCTCAAATTTGGGGCTCCTTACAGCCCCCAGACTGGAGACCTTCCCAGATAGGCCACAAACCAGTCCCACAGAGAGCTTCAGCTGCCTGCTTGAAGCGTCACAAGCAAAACCCCCCTGAGACCCCAGCAATATCCGTGCCCCAGATGGCCCCGGGCCTCATACACCGGTGGGGGGGTCTTAGAACCCGATCCCACCTACCCCGAACAAGTTCTGTCCGGTTCCAAGAAACCAGCCACAGATCCCAGGTCAATTTACACTCTGGGTCTTACCCGCAAATCACGCTGAGCCAGTCCTTTAGAATCTACCATCTAAAGGTTTATTGCTACAAGAAAGAAAAGCCTGAGAGTAAGGTTGCTAAAGTATCATACATTACATGCATCGAATCTCCCAGTTCTCGATGCAGGCTCTAGTGGAGATGTTACAGCTGCTGGCTTAAAAGTCCTTGTGGCACATCCTATGTCAGGATAGGTCCACAGTTCTTCCTGGCTCGTGATTCCCTGCGAGGCAGCATCTGGGGTCAGAAACAGATCTGAAGACCCACCTGGAGTCGACCACATGGCCTATTTATCCCTCCTTCCTGGTCTCTTCCAAGCTGGCTAGAGTCACATGGTCTCTGACTAGGCACCTAGATTCCTTCATAGGTGGGTCTTAGGTACTTAAGGGACCTATTGTCCCTGGAACCTTGCTAATTAGCATGTCCATAGGGCGAGCTCATCGCTCAACCACATACAGAGAAAGATTTTGTATCCACACAAAGTACATGCTTATCACTTCACACGCAGACATTACATAATTACATGAATAGCATATATGGAATCAGAAGAAAGTGAGCTTCTATTTGACCCCTCACATGGCTCCCTTTGTGCCACTTTTGGGGCCAACACCCCCACCCCTATGGGTGCAGCAGTGATCTGGCTGCTTCCCTAAAATTCAGTAAGGTGACAGGGTCCCATTCAGTTTGGGCCTTTTCTTCACTCCCCACCAATCCCTCCTGGTCACCTGGGGCATTTTATGTCCCCTCAGATCTCTCACTCTGGCTACAAGGGCACTTTCTCTTCCCCCAGCACTCCTCCTGGCTGCCAGAGGGATTTCCCTCTCTTCCCCCCCGTGATGGACTTGCAGACAGACACAGACACACAGATGCACTCCAAAAGATAGCTAGCTAGCTAGATGCCACAGATCTCCTCATTTTTAACATGTATTTTGTTCTTCTTATTTCCTAAGTCACTCCTTCCAGCCCTTAATCTGTAGTCTCCCATGTGCTCCCAGCATGCCTACAGCTGTACACAACACACCACAGCCCATCCCTCCCCCAAGCTGCTCACCTTCCAAACGAGAGCAATAGTTTTAGTCACCCTCTCTGACTTCTCTCCAGTTTTTCTACCTCGGTGCATTACAATTGTGTTTAGATTTGTACCAGGGATTCTTTCATTCAGGGCCTGATTGAAATTGATGGGAATCTTTCACTTTGGCTCAATGGGCTTCAAATCAGGAATTCTAACAATGCATAATCACTGTTTTGCTCCTCCGTAAATAGGACTCCCAGGGTCACCTGTGCTCTGAATTGCAGCAATCATGGCAAATAATGCTAGCAGAGAACAATCAACATGGCAAATGTTGGCTATGTTGCTTAATGTGTTGTTGGAAAGTATTCAGGTACAAGAGTGATGAGTGCAGTAGGGGAATCTATATAGCACAGGATGCAATGCCAGGATAATGATAGTGTCAGCAGCGGGACAGGTAGTGTCAGCAGTGGGATAGTGTCAGTAGTGGGATAAATAGCTTGTTACTGGCCCATGGCAGAGAACACCAGTAACAGCCTACTTATCCTACTGCTGACACTATCCCACTTCTGACAATATCCCACTGCTGACACTATCATTTATTTATGACCTTTAAGGAGATTTTCTTTCCTTTGAAAGTAATTTTCTTTGCCAATGTCATTCTTAATGGCATGCCTTAATGGGAAGGCTTGTCTCATCCCTTTCCTGATGGGAGGTGGATTGTGTTTCAGGCATATCACAACCTAATGGCAGAATGTCAGGTCCCTGATGTCTTGCTCAGGCTAATCAATAGAATATCTGTAACCAGACACATTTAACCAGATAAGGGCTAATAAACAATTCACACACACTATCAGAAAAGGGGCTTTTTTTCCGCCTCCTTTTAAGTCAAAGTGGGGACGGGACGGCAAAGACAGGCAGTGAACAGCCTCTGTTAGGTTAGGGAGTATCTCTCTGAGACACTTTTCAATTGACTGTTAAGCAAAATGCATAATTGCTATAATGCATTAACAGAGAATTTCATATCGGTGTGTGAACCAAAGTACACAGCTGTCATCCAAACGGATTGCCAATCAAAGGGTCCCCAGCTTAACGATGGGTTATTGAAACAGGCCTGCATTTTACGATGCAATCCATTATGATGGCATTAAAACCCATAAAAACTATAAAGTGAGGCTGG